ACCTGTCAAAAACAGAAAGAACAAAAAGCAATAGGTGTCCAAAAAAACTACTTCACCCTTCATGAAAGTCAAAGATACAACAATCAAAAAGAAAAAAAAAAAAAAAAAAACAGGGGGCATGTTCAGAACCTCTCAATAATTCTTTTTATACAGAATATATATATTCAATTATTAATTTCATCGTTCATCCAAATAAGTTTTAAAATCGCTCAAACACAAATAAAATATCAGACAAGGCGACAAAAATATCTTACACTATTCCCTGTAACAGTGAAAATTGAGAGAATGAACTCCAAAAGAACAATTCACTTATAATATACAGTGGTGGTAGAATTACACTTCCTGATACCGTCTTTTACAAATAAGACACAACTTTCTGATCCCTTCCATTATCAATATCAGCGCCAAAAAGTAAACGGGTGCCAATTTAAGTTCAAGAGATTTAGACCAAGGTAAATGTACTGTATGGATCAAAAAGTCAGCTTTAGCTGGCACTATGACCCGGGCTGCACCTACGAACGAACAGGTTAACAATGACGCAAATACTTCAGCAATAATGGCGATAATACTACTATTTGTAACAATTTAAACTAGGAGAACTATTGAGAAGCATGCCAAACTGAACACTACATAGTTTACTACAATGAAAACAGTGAACGTTGTCGGATCCCTCACTGAATTCCCAACACGAGCATCGACGGGGGAAGTTGTGTTCAAGGAAATATCGCCTTGCCAAACACCGCCAGGTGGACTAAGTATGCCTTCGAAAATGGGTGTTACAATCAGTGATAAACCAACTAGCAATGTGTTGACTCTTTCAACTGACATAGTTATGATTGGACCAGCCAGACCCATTCCTACTTGTTCAAGAATTGTGATATTTGATCGTAAGTTGTTGTATGAGGGTCCAATGCTAGGAATTAAGGAAGCATTCAAACCTCCCTTATTGCGTAGAATATTCAAACAAATGTCTCTGTTGGGATCTTGCCTTTGTCTCTCAAGGATGTCCAAAGCTGTCAAATCTTTCATATTAATCTCCATAATATCCGCTTTACATTCTAATAATAGTTTGATCATCTGCTTAATATATATTCATCAATCAAAGTCATGATTAATAGATAAAATAAAGAATAGAAACAGAGATAAGAATCAAGTCAATAAAAATACACAACAAAATGTAAATTATGAAGTGATGATAATTTTTGTTGTCAGAACAACGTGCAACAGTAATGACCACTCTATATGTTGTCACTAATATAGAAAAGAAACAAAGATAAGAATCAAGTTAATAAAAATACACAACAAAATGTAAATTATGAAGTGATGAATAAGTTTTGTTGTTAGAACAACATGCAACAGTAGTGACAGTAGTGACCACTCTTTATGTTGTCATTAATATATTATTCTTAACTAAAAATTAATTGGCATGAATTTATATATTTTATTAGTAACAAATCTTTAGACATAAACTATTTTATGTCATAATAATATTTTTATAGTGACGGATTAATTTTAAAGAAACTTAAATTGTCACAATTATTATTATAATAATGACAAAATAACGATATAACTCAATTACCTATGAGAATAGTGTAACACAAAAATTTTGTCACAACAAACCTAATATAAAGTGCTCAAAGTCACAAGAAAATCGTCACAAAGTTAATTACTGTTGTAGATATATATTGTATTGTACCTGGAGTTGAGTTTTAGTAGCAGCTATGTGCAACACAGTGTTGCCATCTCTATCCTTGGAGTTCAGAAGGTGTTTTCTCGAAGCTTTGCCATAGATATGGGTCCTCTGAAGCCAGCGCACAAGAATTTCAAGAGCATCCACTCGATCATTTTGTGCTGCTAGGTGTAAGGCGGTTTCGTTTCGAATAGTCGCATCATCAATACATTCAGGACAATCCTTGAGAAATCGAGTCAAGAGATTAAGGTTCCCTTTTTCAACTGCGTAATGAAAAGCAGTGTAGCCCTCTTTCCCTTTGACGGGAACCAGATGTTTATCAACTTCCAGTAGACGAAGCACAGTCTCCTTATGGTCATTCTGCAAGGCAAGGTGAATGGGGCTATGGACGTCTTGGTTCAGCTTCGTGGCAAATGATGGCTTCAAGTACATGATTGCGATCGCAAAATCAGAATGGCCTCTAGCTGCAGCTATGTGTAGTGGAGTATCAACAAACTCTGCCTCATCGATGCGCCTCAAAACCTTTGCATCTTCCCGAATACAGTAATACAGTTCATCGGTATTTCCTGCTTGAGCAGCCCTTTTCAATCTTTCATCCATATCCAGAGGAATATTGATTGGCTAACAGTGTTTGTGAGAAAGTGCTTCGGTTTCTTTACAAGTTAAAATAGGGAAATGTCTGATGAAAGGAAGCAGGAGTATGGACAGAGGTATAGAAAGGCTCCATAGTTTTTGACTTCTTCTGATGTGCTTTATTGATTATTTGTATCTTAGTACTATGGTTTCACTTTTTGACTTGCTTTATTTACTTTTTTGTTCTGAGAAAACGAGAATGCAATGTTGAATTGGAAAGAAATTATTATAGAGTTGAATGTTGGAATAATTGTGAATTACTTTATTAGAAGCGCAAACATTCAACAAATTTTATGCGAAATTTCACATTAATCGAAAAGAGAGCAAAAAGTTGAACAGATAAGAATTGAATATTTTTATTTTTAGATTTTAGTTCAATTTTCATTATTAGTAATTTTTTTTATAAATGATTTATAAATTTAATGCAAACTTTTATTGAAATTTGTAAGATACTTTGATCCTCATGTCTTTCCTCAACAACTTTTTTTTTTTTTTGCAAAAAAACAAGAAAAAGTAAGGAAACTATTTCTCTAATTCCATCAAATTTTGTTTGTCTTTTTTTTTTATATATTTCAAATTTATGTTTTATTTTCTTTTTTCATCACCTTCAGCTTAGTTTTGTCTGGATTCCTCCAATTACTTAAGTATCTCACTTAATTTTTTTTTTTAATTTGAAGTTGTTAGAATTTGAAATTTAGTTATTGATACTAAAAATCTAACATTCTATCAACAAAATACGTAACTATTTACACTTAACTTTTAGTTTCACTTACGGGAGTGCTATTCAATTGTTTGATTCTCCATATAGTTTCGAATTTGATTGGATAAATTATTTTAATATGTATGATCTCATCTTCAAGCAAAGGCATTTATGGATTGGGCTAAGTCGAATTTAGATATTATATCAATACCTTATATATTTATTTAAGTTTAGATTGATCTAACAATTTCAATCTTAAATTTTATTTAAATTCATCTAAATTAATAAATGATACAACTTAGATTCGTCTGGATAATTTTTAAAAAATAAAACAAGACATTTTTATTTAATTTTTAATAATTTTGTTTTTTATCAAGTTTAAAACATGGAGAATTAAACATATTTTCGTAATTTTTACATATAATATTATATTTTTATTTTTATATAATATAAATCATATGATATATAAAAATATAATTTTTTGAACCTGGTTGAGCCAAACTTGTGCCTTGAATGTTGAAGTCAAATCTGACCTTTTTTACAAGGGATCCTTTTTTTTTTTTTTTTTTTTTTTTTAAACTTAAACGATTCTAGACATTAGATGAACTTTTGAGTTTGGAGGGATAATCCATTCCTTAGGTAAGTTTATCTTAAAGTGGGCATAATTGTAGGTGGACTTGGAAAATATTATTCTAACATAGATGTTAAAGCCCTTATATATATCCACATCTTTTAGAGACCTTAATTATTTGAGATGAAATAAAAAATATTAATATTATGAATAATTATTAAATTATAGTAAAATATTTAATATAATATTTAAATTTTAAAAATATTAAATATAATATTTGAATTTTAAATTTATTAATTAATATAAAATTTACTTTAATATGATTAGTTCTAACGATAATATATAATATATAAATAACTTTTTTAAATAGTATATTAATTAATGAATTTATAATTCAAATAATACATTAAAATTTTTTAAAATTTAAATATTATATTAAATATTTTATATTAATTCAAAAATTACTCCTAACATTAAAAAAAATTTAGTTTATTTTAAATTTCTATGAACATTACTATTTATAACATTAAAAGGATGGCACCGATGTTGACATTAGCGCCGTTGTTATCGCTAGCTTTTCAATCAAGTGATTTAGTCATTATAGGGAATCAAATATTGGACCCCTTTAGCAGGAGAAAATTCGTTTCACGCTGTAACTTTTTTTGGTTTTTTAACATTAAAAATGTGAAAGCAAAACTTCACATGTACACACGCAATGTGATTTGTGATTTTTTTTTTTATTTTTGAAAAACTTTTTACTTATAATTTTGTGATTTATTGTGATTCATTTACAATGTTAAAAACCAAACAGAATTTAGAAAAAATTATAAAATTATCGTCATTTTTTATTTTTTAACGCAATTAATTTTTTATAATGAAAATGATTCATAAGATTATAAATGAAAAAAAAATTACCTGAGATGTAAATGAAAAAGTCATAAATTATAACAGTATGTGAAATTTACCCACAAATAAATTTAACTTTAAAAGAAATACAAAGAAATAAATAATAAGTAATTAATGAACATTTTTCTTTAAGATTAAAAAATAACATATAATTAATTAATTTTGTTCTATAAAACCTTAAATTTGTTTCTTAGACCAAATTTCGTCTTTTTAAATAATTCTAAATTTAGTTTAAAATTATTTTAAAATGATAGATTTAGTTAGGCAAGATTATGCAAATATTTAGAAAAACTCAAATAACTTACATTCTTCGAAAAACAAATTAAAAGCAAAAGCAAAAAAAAAAAAAAAAAAAGAGAAAATTTTAGTTTTAATTATCTCGTTAATTATTTTAACAAGAAAATTTTTATCTGTTGACTCAGATACAAACAAATATAAACAAGAAAAAATATTATTATGAAAATAGTTGGCAAAAAAAGATAAACCCAACACTAGAAACGTGCTGCTTGCATCAATAACAATAATCTCACCACTATAGGTAACAATTGAAGCTAAATTTAACTTTCAAGCCAATTATGCATGGGTTGTGGAAACAACTGAAATTAAAAGTGGATTCAAGAAGAAAGAAGCAACTAATATCAAGCTTCTTTCATGACCGCAAATGGGCGGCCAAAGTAATTAGAACATGCCACTTTTCTAAGAACTTAAGAACCTCGTAGCATTCATACTCAAAGTTCTCGACAGTACCATCGGATGATTGGTTCAAATGACAACAAGAATTTAGTCATTTCTTTGTTGCCTTGATTCGAAACTGCTAAGAGAATGTAGCAAAAGAAATGTACTAAAAAAGGCCCAAGAATCCCTTCCCACTAAAAAAAAAAAATTCAAGGGCGAGAATTGCACACAATTGAGAAGGGCAAACCTCGCGAGTATGCTCAAAAAGCATTGATACATTTACAAAATATTCATTAGAAAAAGTTTATTCATCATAGCTACCTCATATATGACACATAGAAGGTATGTCGGTGTGCCACGCCAAGGGTTTATGTTATGCATGCATGTCTATTTATGCTTTTTACCATGGACTTGGTAAACTGCAAAACTTATCATGAACATTAGGTGCAAAATTAATTCTAATCTTCAAGTTCAAGGATCTTCACCACTGATGCATCACCAAGCTTCTGGCAAACAACAACACGGTCATGTGGCTTTATAACACCTGAGGCCTTTCCATGGTCTAAAGCGACCTTTAAAACCGATTCATTTGTCATATTTTTTGACTCCGCCTGCAAAATGAAGTATGCATTTGTTATTCCAACTTGTAAGAAAAGCATTAAATCGCTTAATGAGATTCATATGAAGATTATTGCTTTATTTTATTATTCCAGCTAACAGTGTCTTCGGAAAGGGTTCAATTTTCAGAAAGGGCGAGTTCTCCAGAGTATTAAGTAGATTCTGATGATGAGCAATGGAGGACAACACAAGCATGAGAATATCACAATAATGGAGGACCAAATATAAAACTAGTAAAACACATTCTGTTGGAGGGTTGTTCTGTGTAACTAATCAAATCTTATTTCATCTTTATTATTTCCCTCCACAGATGGGGAACATCTCTAACAAGCATAAAATAAATCTTACCGGATGTCGAGGGTCTGCCAGCATGGGGAAAAGGCCTCTGACAATGAGGGATTGCCTTGCCTGCCACAACCATCCAAAGAAAAGAAAGGGTGATGAAGAGTTTTAATTTCAAGTTTTCAACTAAATAACCATAAAATATTCAGCTAATCAGTAAAAGAAAGATGACTAAAAAAGCACATAGAGCATTGCATTCAATTAACAAAAAGAAAACCAACTTGTTTCAAAGGAACTATGCTTTTTCTACAATTGCTATTTTGGATTGTTCTTTTTTCTTTTTCAGAACAATCATTGCATACAGATGTCAAATAATTGGAAAGTAATTTTGCAAATAGCTTGAACAGTGTTGCATCATTTAATGTATTTATTGTAAAAGCGTTTGATAATGCAGTATGGTAATGAGTATCTAAAGGACAGAGACAAGGAAGAAATTCTTTTTAGAACTCCTCTGCACCAGTTAAAGCATTAAAATATCCGAAGGTAATTCAAGTGTCTCACATGACCTGGTGAAATAGACTCATCTACATAGGAACCATGAAAAATCTCATCAGTAGCATACCTCAAAAGCACCGGAGAAAGTCCAGCGTAGCTGATTTGTCTTTAGCCGAGGGATGACAACAGATATGACAGGCATGGTTGGCCTGTACTTTGCAATCAGCCTAGACTAGTACAGAATAGTTTGAAGTTACAATTAACCATGAATCAGTAAACAAAGAAGTATAAGCAAAATAGTTGCATAACACGCAGGAAGATCACTATGCAAATTAGAGAATGGATGCTGAGAAGCAAAAAGATTAACATGTCGGAAACCCCAATCATAAGCATTTGCATTAACGATAAAAACACAACTACAGGCACTAACAGCCTCATGCTTGCACACACAAACAAATGCAGTCACAAGATAATAAACAAAACCTTGCCGCTCTTCCAGATGAAGTGAAGCAAATAATTGCAGAGGCTTTCACCTTGATAGCAGCACGTACCTGTGTTAAATTAAATTCAATTATACTTCGAAGGGAATTTGGAAATATGACTTCCAAACATGCTTCAGTCAGAAAATTACAAGGCAATAATCAATAAAATGCCAAAGCTTGGAATCACAGATGAAAACAGTTTAAAGGAGGAAGCAACAAAAGTAAATACCGCTGAGGAAGCAATGGATTCCAGATGAGTCATTGGTTCCCCAACATATTTGACAGTTTTCTTGAAGTACAGATCTTGATTGAATACTTTTTCTGCCTGCAGAAAGCAATTTAATTAAATAAGAATGCCAAGTTGGCAACATAATAGTATAATGTCCTAAAAAATCACAGCAAGAAACATGGAAGTAATAATTTTGCTTTGTAATATTTATACTAAAGAACTTGCATTAAAATTATCTCTCAAATCCACCAAGTTGAAATAAAGCATAGGTTTTCCTTTCCATTTTTTGTTTAATAGCTTGAGCACATATAGGGGGCCATCTTCAGTACAACGATCAGTCTTAGGTTGATAGGAGTGTGAATTCAAACCGTCGCAACCTTATATATACTTTAAGGGAAGACCAATAAACTGAGATAGGTAGATAGATTGAAGGTTCATATATAACAGGGAAGAAACATTGCTATGATCTATGCCATTCAGTTAGGAAAGTGCTTTGACGAAAGAGATGCATATAAACAAGGGAAAATTCAACAGACAAAATATACTGTTCCAAAAAACATGTTAGGGTGGTAGCAATAACAAAGGGCATCCAGATCAAGGGTAAACTCACCTCTGCACAAATTTTTCCAACTGTAGAAACAGTCTCAACAGGATATAGTCCTCGTAAGGTCTCTGCACCTAGAATAATTGCATCACTCCCTGAACCAAAAAGTAGACATAAAAATAAGATTCCAATCGATGCCAACTACACTTGAATCCATATCAGAAGTCATTTATTAAACAAGGCTCCAGGAGATTAGGAAATAACAACAACATAATTAAGAGATTCCACCAAAATTGGCACACGAGTCACAGAAAGGAGAAAAAAGCATTGAGTAAGAGAACGAAAATTGACCATCCAACACAGCATTTGCAACATCAGTTGCTTCAGCACGAGTAGGTCTTAGGTTGTCTGTCATACTGTCCACAACACGAGTGACCACAGCAGGCTTTCCAACCATGTTACACTTGTAAACAGCAGCTTTTTGAAATAGAAACACCTGTAAATTCCAAATGGAAGAATACCAAAAGAAAGTAGTTGGAGGTGCTGATATAGTCGAATAAATTAAAAGAATGAAATATCCATTTCTTCATTAGTGTGAATGTCTCCATTACTTGGAGAGCAGTCTTATGGTGAATGCTCTTCAGATGTATGGATGCACCATCTTTCTTACACATTACTAGCTGATATCTGACTAAAATCAGAAGAGAAAATATATGCTTTTACTTAAGTGGTGACATGGGACAGATACAAAACGCTGGCTTGATACCTTCAGTAACACAATTAAGGCCTTTTTAACTAATGAGGATGCAATATCCAATATTTGTCTGCCAGCAGTTTTCCATAATCCCCCTTGACATTTTATATGATAGTTTGCAAGCAAAGACTGCATATAGAACCATGACCTAGATAGTCCCATTCTGATAAATGCTTTTGTGATCAAAAACAGAAACTAACCTTCTCAGGTGGGAGATCTATCCCCAAATTTCCCCGAGAAAGAATGATTCCATCTGCTTCTTGTAAGATCTCATCAAAATGAGTTAATCCCTACAAGCAGTTGATAAAAGAGAAGGTTCATATTCAAAATCAAATCACGCCCCAACTACAAATCAAAAGTGTTAAAAAACTGCCAGTTTATCCATCTGACCTCTATATTTTCAATCTTTGCAAAAATTTGAGTCTGGTTGAGCTCACCCAGTTTAGAAAGAAAAGCACGAGCCTGCACGCAGCAACGTTGAAGGTAACTAAGAAATTGGCAAAAGATATAACTGCACGCCAGCAAAATTATGAATTGGGAGTAACTTCAAAGAAATCAGGATGATAAAGATGCAAAGGGAGAAGCTGAAATAATGAACAATCTGAACTTCAAGCAGGAAAGTTCTTACATGACGAATATCTTCTGCATGTCGTGTATAAGACAAAGAAAGGAAGTCTATATTGTTTCGAACACCCCAAGTGCTTATAACCTGATATTAAAACATCATGAACGAATTTAACAAAAATTGCAACCTTCGAACCAGAAATACAATGCTAATAATTTTTTTGTGCAGTTGGATCGAAACAATCTCCTGCAGACAAAATGTTCATCATCTATCTAAACCGAGTGTGTTTAGTACCTTTAGTGAAGTACAAGATAAGCATCTATTAATAATGGCACGAAATTGAGGCCTATCATTGTAACACCCCTTAAATTTTGTTATTCTAATAGCTTATACGAGTAAGAATTCTAATTAGTATTGCATTTTGTTAATTGTTGAATAATATAGCAAGAGGGATTACATTGCATAAATTCAATTTTTGGATGATATTACAGGAGGACTAAATTGCAAAAATAATTCTTGGATGCATCAAAGCGGAAATATCAAGAATTTACCACTAATATAAAAACCACTTATTCTCTAACCCTAAATCAAAAGAATATGTATTTATATATATGTATGTATGTACAGAAACAACCAAGGGAGGCTGCCACTTTGGGACTTAAGGTCTCATGTCAAGGTTTAAGGTAAGACTAAGCCAAAATCTTTGAAGTTTTGCATTTTTGAATAATTTATATAAAATCTTAACATTAGCTTCAAACTTTTAAAATTTTCGACATTCCGACAACATATTGGGCACCAATAGGAAGGTCTCTTAAAGGCCTTTCTAATGGTTTTTTTGGCACCTCACTTGTTTGAGCAATCAGAGACACATGAATTTTTGAAGTATGCTGAATTTGAGTTTTGAAACATAAAATTAGAGTAGCGGGAACTCTATTTTGCAGTAACTGTTTTAGTCGATTCTTTAGGGGTTTTTGTATTATGAAATGTGCTCTTTTCAATGGTCTAAGCAGCTCGGTTAGGGGATTTTTGCGCTAAGAAAATCAAAGCCCTAAAGACAGCCAAATGATTTTGAAACTCAAAATTTTTTATCATTCCAATGATGATTTACAAACAAACTTATTATTTCTCTTATCTTTTTAAGTGAAACAAAATTCTAAGTTGTAGTATTACATGTGAAACTTTGAATTAGTGTTGGTTTCACCTTTGGATTTGACATAATATAATAAACACTATCTATCCATCAACTAATGGATTAGCTCATCAGATAAATTAAACAAGCATCTGATAGAAATAGTTACCTCCTTATCCTTATCAGTTAAAGTAGGCATGTTAATACGAATTTGAGAGACATGCAAGGTATACAATGACCCAGACAAGGTAGCAGAATTCTTGATTAGGCAAACCACATCTTCACCATTCAACTCAGCAACCTGGAACATGAAACAAAGACTGCATTAGTAGCCCTTAATTTCCCTACTTCTCCGACTTCACATCCTCTAGGCAATATATATTTCATTATTTGTAACTGGCTTTCTTGTATAAGATCAAACTCACTTCAAATATAAGTATAATTAGCAAGCAAAGCAATCTATGTCCTGCTCTAATAAAGAGTCAATAACCAAGACAAGCCCAACAAGGGATGTAGGCCAATATTCTGTCTGGCCAGAATGAACTCATCCCTTTAATTTTCCCTTACCTCTAACCACACCGAAGTTGTTTCATTTCCTGTAAACAGGTATTGGCCAATAAAGATAGTATCTCCCTTCTTGACTGTCTGCAAGACCAAATATATCATCAAATGAGACAACAGAGTGAACAAGGACTGTAGCTAGAATGGAATAATTACCACGCTACATTCTTTCTTTTCACAGTCAAACTTGGAGGGGAGAGGGAGAAGACAAGGAAAAAATATATGGGAGTAATAAAGTCCCTTCCAGAATACTAATCCAAAAAAGAAAAAGTCACCTCTACTGTGCATAAAGAAATTCAGTTAACAAGCAAATGAAGAATGGATATGATGAACAATAGAATCACCCTTTATTAACATACAACCCATAAGGACAAGAAGGAGTACACGAATATAACGAATGCCATGGGACACAAGAAAGTTCACCCATATGCTGTTTACCATTTTACAGCCTCTTCACAAAGATTCTTCACTTGGTCAAAACACTATGTTAAACTAGTTCCTGTACATTTGGCACTTAATACCAGTCAATTATCCGTTTAAATATAATTATATATAGAATATTTAGTAGCAAAATAAGATTTTCAGAGAAAAATGCACAAGCTTTAGTTCAAACCACCAAAATTTTCCTTCAATTCATTTGAAAGACATTGAAATAGAAGAGCATGAAGATACAAGATGCAAATCTGAGACAAATGTCAGACAACAGATAGATAGTCCATGAAATTTGTCGATCCAACAAAAAGTTGCTCACCTTAGACAAACCATGAAAATTTATTGGTAGCAGATTTGAAGTAGCCTGTTTATCTTGATCTGGGGTGAGGATGACGTTTGTATCTGCCTCAAGGGAAATGGGGTGCTCCGTTTTATTAACTACTTGCAATTCTGGACCACCAGTATCAAGCATAATCTGAAATAACAGGTCCAATCTTGTAACATATTATATTTCTATATCTTCAGGATTAAATTTACAAGGAAAAACAAAACAAAAGGAAATTTTTATTAGGGTTGAATAAACCATTTTTTAAACATATCAAGTAAAGGATTTTGATGGAGTAAAATAACAGAAGGAATAATAAAGGGTCAGTTTTAAACTAAAGTATTTAGTGGCTTACAGCACAGAGCTTCTTAGTACTCTTAATAGCTATCTTCAAATTTTCCAATGTCTCTTGGTGAAATTCAGTATCACCCAATGAAAAATCGAACCTTGCCACTGAAGAAAACAAAGCACAATATATAAACCCATTATAAATGCCAACAACCACGTGGACCGTTGCTAAAGTATTGAACTCTTAATTCTATTAATCATAATTCAATCCTAGACAGCCTCAAATGCCAAATCAAATAAACACATTATAAATACATTGTTTCTTTTGACTCCAAGAAAGACATGACTCCATCCAGAAGTTAATTAATATACAATATGTTTGCAATTTTTGGTCCGAAGCAAACTAAATTCTCCAGTCAAATGAACCTGATGCAAATAGCTGACATAGATAAATAAATTGAACCGGCTTTCAACTAACAAAAATACAGTCACAAGGACTAAGATTTGCTTTAATGTTTGTCATCAACAACCTAAGAAAACAAACCAAAATTAAAGTAAAATTGCATTCTCAGACTATGATCACATAAAACTAACGTTGCAATAAAAAAAAAAAAAAAAGTAGTACCAGACATTCCAGCCTTGAGACAACCAGAAATGATTTCAACAGTTCGCGATTTTAGACCGAGTGTCCCCACAATTTTTGTCATTGCAGGAAAGAAACTCTGTAAATCACATTCAAACCAAAAATCAGTTATGTCATCCAAATTCTTCTAAAGATTAGAAAAATAAATAAAAGTTCGCATTAAAAGTTGTAGTACATGCCATGTTCTTCTTTTATATATATATATATATATATATATATATATTAATTTATTTATTTATTTATACTAACTACCAAAATGTTTCTTTAAGCAATTGAAATTCAAATTCTTTTAACTTTCTTCAAATTTTCTTATCAAACAAACAATTATTTTAGAAAATTTCAAACTATATATACCAGAGTTCTGTTTTGATTTAATCTTTTTTCTTTGAAAACCCATTTGGCCACATAATTTCGGTATATTCTATACACATAATATTCTTGTTTTTCTTTTTTTTTTTGTTATTTCTTCTTTTGATTTCTCTTCATTTCACTCAGCACCCAAAAGTCAGAAGATTGATAAATACTAAATAAAAAAAAAAAACTTCATCAGAAAAAAATGTGTTATTTTTCTGGGTTTCATGCAAGCAAAAGAAAAAACTTACAGGCTTAGATGGCTCAAGAATGGAAGCCATTCTGATGGGTTCTTCAAGAAGTAAGTGATTTGAATTCATGTTTGTTTTCCTTGGAATTAAATTCAAGAAAAAGAACAGCGATAAGAAACTGAAGAGATCGGTAGCAAGAAACTGAAGAAAGAGAAGTGAAAGAGATTTATTTTTTAGATAGTATTTTAGTTTCCGTTTGTTGTCATTTTATTACACGACCCAAATTAATAATTATTTCTTTTTTGCGACAACTTGACAATAATTTAATACATTTATTGTTTTTGAAGTCACGGATTACTAAAATTCCGCGACAGCTCTAATATTAGGGGTGGTTGGCCTTGGATTTTGCCGTTAATAATTCTTTCGAAGAAAATTTCTTTACTTAAAAATCATAAAGAATTTTTTTAATAATTTAATGTATGTAGATTAAGAAATATATTTGATAAATAATTATACAAAAGTTAAAATAATTTTTGATCAGTTTTACTCCGATTCTATTTTTATTTCTATTTTCTTATTAGGCTGTCGGGTTTTTTATTTTTAAAAACTAATTCTTATTATTATATACGTTAAATTTATTTTAAATTTACTATTATCTTTGGCAAAAAACTATTTTTCAATAGTTATACTTTTTACATAAAGCATTTTACATCCTTATTATAAAAAAATTGAGTTTTTAAAATAAAATCCATTGAAATTCAAATTTATCTTTAATCTCTACTAAAATAAAATTAAATGATTCTATACATTAGGGACAAAGAAAGTTTTTTTATTGAAAGTATAAAAAAATTTTATCATGAATTTTATTAATTAGTATGTTAAATATTTTACTATAAAAATAATTTTATTATTCATTAATCTGGATCAAAATTTAAATCATTGATATCAAATGAATTTTAAAAATTTGTAAATAAAATAAAATTATTAATTAAATTTTTTATAAAAAAATTAAGAAAATTTAATAAGAAAATTTTTAAAAGTGAAGATTAATTTCACTTGTAAATTTTCGGCGCAGAAAATTTTATTTGTCTTTTTTAATTTACTTTTATTGCCACTTGCATTTGTTTGTCTGAAGCCCCATGCACAAAATGTGCAGCAGTTCAATAATTTTTGATTTGACAGTTGATTATTGTTGTGAAGCAATCACATCAATAAAACCAAAGGGCGAACTTATCATTAAATCAAGAGGGGAATCTATTTATTACATCATTAAAACCAAAGGCGAACATCATTAAAACCAGAGGCGAATCCAGGGGCACCCACAAAAGGAAGCTTTCTAATTATCCTGCCTCCTCCACTTTGATTCTAATTTAATGGCAACGGCTGGTTCATTTAATCGATGAAAAGAATATATTTTTTATTATTTGAATTTAAATTTATTGAAAAATAGTGAAAGAAAATTTTTTTTATGAATTCTTTAAAATTTTATTATTTGAATTTAAAAATCTCTTTAGATCTATTAAAAAATGTTAGACAAATATAAAAAATCTTTTATTGCTAAAAAATAAAAATAACTTAAGAAAACAGTTTAATTACTCCACCCCCTCTCATTTTTGTTTGCCCTTTTTTTTTGTCTCAAAATTATGTATTTTTTTAACACTTAATAAATTTACCTTTTATATATTTTAACATTATTTTTCATAATTTTTTATTTTTTAATATAAAAATATAATTAATTTTAAAAAAATTAAATTTTAATATAAAATACATTAAAATTAAAATTAAATTTATGATTAAAAATTAAATATGGACAATGAATGACATGGACGGAGTATATAGTAAGCCTAACTCATTTACACAACAAAAAATAGCAATCAAGAACCTATATTTTACCTTCTAGTGTTTTTTTTTTTTTTTTTTTTTTTGGGGGGGGGGTGGGGGGAGAGAGGAGGAGGGGAAGGGGGCATTTTTGAGCTTCCTCTTTTAAACCCATAGTTACATTACAAAAATATAAATTCCCAGCAACATTACTAGATAATGCCTATTTAGCTAAATTACATATAAATATTTTGTGGTTATGACAGAATAAATTTGCCTTCAAATGTTTAAAATGTAACATTTAATCCTTTTGTGTTTTGTTTTGTAAGTATTACCTTTAACAGTATTAGTCTAACATTCTTTCTTTTCTTCTCCTAAAATCACACCACCAGCCTACCATTCATAATCATCTCCTAAGCTTTATCTCCTTTCATCTCCTAAATTTACTCACCAAGCTACCACTCATCTACATCTCCTCCATACTCATGAGATTTTTGCAAGATATAAGAAAAATTGCCATCATACCAAGTAAATTGAGTAAAATCATTTTTTCCTAATTTTTTGTCCACTTCCCTTCTTCCTTTTGCAAATTTGGTAATAGCTAGCAATTAAAAATCATCCACTGAATCTAATTTTTTCTAATTTATTCTTCTAATTATCTTACTCCAATCATCTCTTTCTATTTTTTTCCCTTTTTTCTTGTTCAAACTGAAAACTCAAAGTTTCCTTTTTTTATTAAACCCAATCAATTGACCATTTTTCAATTAAAAAAGAAAGCTAAATTAAGAAAAATGGGTTCCAATTCTATTACCATTAACTTTGGAAATCAAGAAGCAGTATTGAGTTGCTCAATTATCCTGCTATCTATATTGCCATCAAACTTAATTATTTTGGTTTAAATGAATTGTTAAATTAGATCTTAAAATTTTAAATATGTGAGTTTTAAATTGTTATTTTTTAATGGGTTGTTGTGTTTTAAAATTCTTTAGTTGAATTTTTTTTTTTTTTTTACTTTGAGACAATAAGGCATGATTAATATGCACTTTGTTGTAACAAAAGTGAAAAGATTAAAAAAAAAAATGTAAAAAATAAATAAATATATGAAAATTTAAATTTCATGACAAATCCTTTTTGAATTCACCTAAATTGTAAAAAAAAAAAAAGTTGCAAAGGTTTATAAGTAGAAGAAGAGTAATAAAATGTTTATGAAAGTTGGAAAAAAAAATGAAGAAAAAGATGAAAAAAAGAAAGGATGGAGAACTCTCATTGTCTAGCTTTAGAGAGAGAAAGGATGAATTGATAAAGAAGGAAAAAAACAAAAAAAAAAAAAAAGAAAGAAATGGAAAAAGTAACAATCTTGAGTAAAAAAAAAACCAATAAAACAAGTCATAGGATAATTAAAGATTACTTTATAAATCCTAGAGATCATTTTTAATTCGTCTCAAATCACACGAGATTTATATGTAATTTATCCTTAGTTATTTTTTAAGGGACAATTCTAACCCCTATTTACATACATACATAAAACATTCTTATAAGCTTAATTTTTTTTTATAAAAAATATGGAAGTTTGAAAATAAGAATAGAGATTATAAGTGTAAGAGTTTGAACTTTAAATTTAATAAATACTATTTTTTAAGAATAATTATATAAATTAATTGAATTAAATCTTAAGTTTAATTTAAATATATTTTTACAACTCCTTTTTAAATAAGAAAAACGAACCATTAACAATCATTACCAAAAAACGAAGTATTACTAATAGAAATTTTCATTAATAATATTTTAATTTTAGCCAATAATAATGTTATTGATGGATTTATCGATAAAATTATTTTGTCAATATAAGCATAGTCAGTAATATAATTTAGTTAGTACTATAAAATTTCATCAATAAATTATTGATGAAAATTTTTGTCAGTAAAAATATTTTTCTTTCAGTAATAATCGTTTTTATAATTTTTTTTTAATTTCACAAAAAAAATCTATCGATAATAATTAATATTTTTATCAATAATACTTATTTTTAATTATATTTGGTTTATAATTTTTTTATTTTAATTTTTTTATTTATTTTTAAAGTAATTACGTGAATATTAATATATATAATAGAAAAAAATAAAATATTCAATTTTATTCATAAAAAAATATAATAATATTGTATAAATTTATTTATGAATTCTAATTACAAAAAATACGTACAAGTATCAAGAGTTGTTAAATCAAAGGTGCGTTAGTTAAATCTAAGGTAAGCCATTGGTTACTTTTTTATCGATTGTAGCTGGTAGAAATATGAGTCCTCGAAATGGGTTAAGTCTTGCTTCCATAGCTGTCCTCTTATCTCTCTCCCTTTGCAGCTTTTCCTCTAATCTTGCTACTGATCAAGAGGAACAATCAAGACTGGACTATTCTCATAAGACTAACACAGTATTGGCTATAAAAATATTAGCTTTGTGCAATTACCTAATAAATATAATATAAATACAAATACAAATATTAAATTCAATACATTAACAAAAAAAAAAAATTCGTATGCTTCCACCAAGTATATCTATTTGTCTAGCGTCTATTACAATTGCAGCACCTAACGGCAATTAAAAAATGATAAACTAAAATGATGTGCAAATCAATGATTGGAAGTTGGAACTAATTAATTCAGCAAGCATTCAAGCAAAAGGTGAAAAATTTTATTTACCTTCAAGGTCCACTTTTACTTTTTTAATTACAGGCTTGAGCCACCTTGGAAAAACATTTACACCAGAAAAATTAGAGTGATACTTGTGTATAATAAGAATGCATACATACATACATACATACATACATACATATATACATATATACATACATATAAACACACTTAATTACAACTTAAAAGGGTTCTTGCAATAGTAGTTATGTACCATTCGAACTCAACTTAGCTACATTGCATCACTCTTTCACTCACATTAATCAAAGTAGCAAAATATCTATTTATTAATAATTTCTCTGTTTAGGCCTGATAAAGAACTTGTTTAATAACTATACTTTATTGACATTGCTGATAAAAACTTGTGTAATATCTGAGTGATGAAGGCCTAAGGCATTTTAGAATATTAAAGTAGCAATTTTAGAATATTAAACAAAGCAGCAGAATGAGAGAATTCATATGTAGCATCATGTTGTATTTATTAATTATTTATAATGAAATTGCAGCTAAAACCGTGATCCTCCAAAGGAGTTTTGAGTAGCAAGCATCATGCATTTACTAGTAACTAGCAAACTAAGCTTAGATAAACTTACTATATGTTCAAACAAAATACAGTTCATATATATGTGAGAGAATATATCCCAATAATTGGACAGAGACCCGACAACATCCTACTAGCTAGTCTCAAAAGACAATGGAAACTTAACATGCTGGTTGCCAAAAAAAAAAAAGAAAAAAGAAATGCACAATGCTTGCAAGTAACCTTTTACTAGGAAAAGAAACCACAATCCTGAGTCCATAAATAGCATAAAGAAAGTTGAAACTGCATCTTAAGATAAGAATCATTT